AAAAGTGCTTCTGAAAATCAGTGTACAAGTGTCTGCTTGAGTTCCTGCCTGAACAAGTGATTGTACATAAGTGATATTTTATGCTGCATGATTTCTATCTGAAGGACTTACCCATTCTTAAAAGAGGTATCCTATAAGCAAGGTTGTTTTAAAACTCTGTTTTAGCAGTACAATATATTTTTAAATACATATTATCTTAATTAGAATTCTGGTATGAAAACAGATTGAAGCAGTGCGCCTCTAACCAAAGTGGGGAGACTCCGGGATACCCACCCACTTTCTGGCGTTCTAATACCTCCTTTTTTTATCCCTTACTCAGGAGTCCAGTGATGTAGTAGTTACTCATTGAGCTAGGATCCACAATGTGAGCAGTTTAAAACCACCAGCTGCTCTGCTGGAGAACGTTAAATAATTATAGTCTCTGAAACTCACAGGGCTACTTATATCCTGTCCTATAGGGTCGGCATTCACAGGACAGTCATGAATGAATACCTCCTACTAGTCCCTTTCTATCTTTGGAGGATATCTAGGGAGGGCTTGATGTCAACATAATCATATTGAGATCCACCAATTCAAGGTGTGAGCTACAAAGAACAATATGAGAATAGAGGCTGATGCAGTCTACCAACTTAATGCCTGTGACAGGCATGCATCCCAAAGACTTTCCTCCCAACCTCAGATTCATACCACTCAGGTTCCATCATATTGTTGACTCATACATCGACTGCTTTCTTTAATCATTAGGGTCTGCAGTTTGGCACCAAAGAACTGGAGGAGATGGGAGCCATGTTCTGCCTGGGACTCCTCATCTTGGAACTCAAATCGGTCAACTGCAGTCATCAGCTTCTTGGTGCTGCAACTCTTCTGAAGGCAGTGGAAGAGGCCCTGGACTACCACCTGCAGAGGTAAGAGGCTTATTGGAGGGTGGGGGGTGGGATGGAGGAGGAAGTTGAACTTCTGGGTTCCCACTAGAAAACATCTCAGGAACAAAAGAGAAGTGAACCAAGGTATTTGATGAACAGACAAACTGAGAATGTGCAAAATTAAGAAAGATGCAGCAGTTCTCTATTGATAGGGCAGACCTGAGAATTCTTTTTGTCTTTGGAAGATAAGGAGACTGTCTTACATGTGTGCATGCAAATACAATGTTTCATCTATTTTTATATATGCATTATTAATGAATTGTGTTTATAGTATGCTTACTTCATAAGACTCATGAACATCTATAGATATTTATATTTTCCAGTTATGTTCTTGGTACTTAGATGAAGGCACCCTAGTGGTATTGGTAGTTAAGTATTGCACTGCTAACTGAAAGGGTGGAGTTCTCACCCATCAGTCACTCTGTGGGAGAAAGATGAGACTGCTCTCAAAAAGATTAACAGTC